ATAAGTGGAAGAACGACCCGTAACAACACTGTATGGCAGCTGGCTACATTACACCGATCGACTTGTTACACCTGACCCTTAAACATCTAACTCTAGACATTGTTTAAAGCTAATCTATTGATAATGTCCCTACTGTACTTGGTGACAGCGAGTTCCACTCTGCGATAGTTATAGGAAAGAATGAATTCACTACTAACAGTAACTACTTTCTCTGTCCTTAGAACAGAAAAATGTTCCTGCTTGGCCTGTTGTCGGGATGTACAGTCTACATGTTCGTGGTGTACTTGCCCGCGTATTTGTATCTCGGTAAGCTCGAAACTCAGCCTCTGCATCACCCTACATCGACGAGCAAACGACTTTTACAACAAACAGACGTCCCAAACAAGATCGTCCGGCCTACTAGACCCCCCGGTCCGGTCCACCCGACACCGTTCAACGTCACCAACCCTCTCAGTGGCTACGTCAATGTGATTAAAGATAGAGAGGTGAGAGGGCGTTGTTCTGTACTATTAGACATTAATGATCCGATTATTCGACATTTATACACACATACAATTGAAAGAAAGAAGGATTGGTCGTCCAATCACAACTCTTAAGGGTATCATTGAGACACGTACACACACACACACACGCGCGCGCACACACTGACACATATATATAAACACATAAACACAGACAGACACATACACACACACACACACACACACACACACACACACACACACACATTCACATTACACATACACACACACATACATGTACACATACACATACACATACACACACGCTCGTACACATACACATACACATACACACACACACACACACACACACACACACACACATACACATTACACATACACACACACATACACATACACCTCTCTCTCTCTCTCTCTCCCTCAAGTCAAGTCCCTCTCTCTTCCTCTCTCTCTTCCTCTCTCTCTCTCTCTCCCTCAAGTCAAGTCAAGTCCCTCTCTCTTCCTCTCTCTCTTCCTCTCTCTCTCTCTCTCTCTCTCTCTCTCTCTCTCTCTCTCTCTCTCTCGACGATTTTAGCTCTGACAACTTCCGACCATTTATCCATACAGGAGAAGTCTAAGGAGTGGGAAGACGCCTTCAACTTTGTTCTCCGCCGACTGGACGAGCTCTATTCCATCTTAGACTCCATCACAAACGAATGCACAAACGTACTGGACCAGCTATCTCACGACAGCGAGGACATTATGGACAAATCCAAGAGAATGACAGACCGGAAAAAGGCTGAGACGTAAGAATCACCATTAAAGTCCTGACTGCACACTAAAAGTAACAAAATTCAAAGTTCTATCTTTCCAAAAGCACATTAAAGTCTTTGAATTGTTTAGTATACACATTGCTTTGTTGTGTGGTGTACAACAGCATACATACATAAAACATCATTGATCTCTGTTTATCATTCGTACATTATATATATATATCTCACAGCCCAAGGTGACAATAGCGTACATTCATCGATACTTTTCTTGTTGCATTTTGAAAAAAAAAATTAAAATTAGCCAGTATAACTCATCGCTGATTTGACATACTTGTTTTCCATTTTACAAACACACGCAGAAGCAGACACATGAAACGGAAGTGCATCCGACTGGGGGAGGAATCGGCGAAGCTGGAGAGAGCCTGCATCGAGTACATCAGGGCAGATGACGAGATTCGCGGGATTGCGGGCGCCGTAAACCGGCTTAGCCTGGAATAGTTCACTAAGACCAACTCGTGAACATTGTCTATGATTTTGTGTTATCGACAATGATTGTATTCTTTTTCCGCTCTCCACATAGAACTATAGAATGAACTATTGTGAAATTGTGTTATGTTTTGTTCCAAGTCTATCCGCAGTAGTAGATTTGTCACGATTCTGAGTCGGTGGTGAGTAGGTAATAATCCAGGAAGGATGTAGTTCAAGTTTGGATGAAGATACAGATAAGAAATTTAGATTTTTTCACTTACATCCATCTATAATATGTATATAATCATTATACCTTTTCAACACAGTAGACAGTATGGTAAAACAGGTGTTACCTTTTCAACGCCTCCAAACCGGCAAAATCATAAAACAGAAATACGTCAAATACTCGATAGTACATCAAAAGAAGACGCAATCAACCTGACATGCTCTATACAACAGCAGATTTAGAGTTCTTGTCTAAATACGTATACAACCTCTTACACAACAGAATGTAAGTCTTGTGTCTGACTTGTGAGTTGTTGAGTGAAACCACTTTCTATGTATTGAAGTTGATTTATACTGAGTTACAAATTTACTTCATTTTACGTTTGCTCACCGTAGTGACTTTGTCTTTGTGTAAGACATAATTTCTAGCAGTAGATATTGTGATAGTCAGGATGTTTTCATATTTCTATGTAAGTTGAGGACATGCATGTATCTCCTTGTACACATTTCTTTCAGATCTTTGGGTGATTTATATAGTATTCTATCACATGCATAGCAGACCCGACTTATCAG